AAATTTGGCTCGGTGATAAATGTCTGGATTGATTTGAGAGGTGGTTAGCCATTTTTAGCCTGAAGTCAGGCACAAGGCAGGGTAGATGTTTCACCTTTAGGGTGCATCCAGACGAGCGTGATCATGCAGTATGTGGTGCTGCAAACATGTTTGTAGTACCACATATTGCATAGTCCAGAGTTCTCCGCGCTGCAAGGGCACACTGCCTGAGTCTGCACTGCTTGGTTTTTTTCCCCCCGTGCTTGGAGCTGTGTTGTGACTGCTGGCCAGGCTCTGTCCAGCAGGATTGCGGTGGCTATAGCTCCAGGAGGCTCCCAGGGCTCCAGGTAAGGCTGCTGGGGCCAATACAGTCCTGGTCCCAACCTCCCCTATGCCACTGGGGGCAACTTGCCATATGCCAAAGCACGTGCGGCATTGGCATTTCCCAGGGACAAGAAGCAGCAGAGCAAGGTGTGCCGCCACTACTTATCCTCAGAGAACCAAACGTTGGTGCACATCTGGACATGCCCTTATAGGCTAACTAAATCAGAGATGTACCGCACAAGCTTTTGGAAGCAGAGGGCTTACTTCATCAGATGCTATCATCTAATGAAGTAAGCCCTCTGCTTCCAAAAGCCTAATATTTGGAGCCATTTCAAAATGATGTAGTATGACAACATTGTCGCATAATGTTGTGCTTTTGTTTTTCTGCAGAAACAGAATGTTTAGGCCAGGCTTTTATTATTTTTAAACCTAGTTCATTTCAAATATCTGTTATAAAGTGATTTGTCAATTAATCAAATCAGCAACTATTACAGGCTGTTATGGACACTGTGACTTTTGAACTTTATTTTTCTTTCTGACCTTTATTTTTTCTTTTCCAATTGTTTTGTGCACCCAGGCATTGTAACCTCTGTACAAATATGCTGTCTTCTGTTTGAGGGTCCATACAAAGACAACATCCAGTGTAGGTAGAGCTAGACAGAGTAGCCTCTGCTATCATTGTAGTCCAGCTAACTGCAACAGTTAGTACACAGAAACTGTGATTACATATTTTATCACAAAAACATCAGTCAAAAAGATCCAGCTAATACCCCATCTGAATCAGTGCCAGTCAGAATGAAGTAAATGACTTATAAGAGTTCTTTAGTTACAAAAGTCAGTGTTTATGCTTCATAACTCTAAATAAAAACAACAAACTAAGATCAGGTACTGCAGCCCATCTTATGAAGTGAACTTTGCACTCAGTTGTGATCAATCTGATGTTGATTTTATGGTTCTTGATGGAGCTGTTATTAACAGTGACCAGACATCATATGACTTCCAGAGATTATGCATCAAACAAGGTTAGGCCCTACTTCAGCAAACAGTTACAAAAGATATGCAGAAAGACTTGCTGACATATCATGGCCAGGGATCTTGAAGATGAGCCAAGGGTATCTATGACATCATAAGCAACATGTCTGTCACATTTGCCAATAAGACTAAGGTCTTTTTATAATTAGCAAGAAACCAAGAAACCTTTCTTTATAATTAGCAAGAAACCTTTATGCATAAGCACTTTAGACTGCCAGACAAGAGGATTATAATTACAGTTAGTGAAAGTAGGTTACCACCACCAAATCAGAACACATCAGTAAGTGAAAGCATGAACCAGTATTAATATACACAAGGGTATTTCTGCAAATACAAGATGCCAAGCAGAGAGAAGGGCTTAAGTGTGCTGTTGTGCAGACTGTTTGTACCAAAGTAGGCCTTGACAAGGTAGCGATTGAATTTGGCACAGGGAAGAATATCCAATTTATTAATATAAATAACATGTTAATATTACTTGGTCAAGAAAAACCCCTAGTGTGTTTGATGTATCAGATACTAACCCATTACAATAAAGTCAGATTCATTGCAAAAACATTATTTTTAAATCCATGGACATATGGAATATATTTGATGTCATGAGTAACTGATGAACAATGTATTGTCATTGTTGAAGATCTTACAAAGATCAAACAACTTGCTTACATCTGATTGCACCAGTGCTGTTACAATTCCTAATGTTGCCAGGTTAGTAATATTTACTCATGAAAACATTCCATCTACTTAGGCTGCTCAAATACAGCATATTTACCTATCAGCCCTCCAAGCTAACTGCAGGCAGCAAATGTTGCCAAAATCATTACCAAGGCTAAAGTCATGTGGATGGAGAAAGCTGGATGGCAGTATGAACAACTGTACCCACCTTTGATCTGGGGGGGTGGAGGGGTATGCTCTCCTATTCTGGATGCCTAGATGACCTGGACAGACAGCAGCCAGTCACCTATGTGGTTGTCTAAATCCCAAAAATGCCACTTACATACAGGCTGGCTTTCTATTTTTGGGCACATACTTAATCATTTATGTACATAGGGCTTTGCATTCAGGAATAGTGAAAACCTGGTTGGAAGTGGCAATTTGTGGGTTTAGGTATTCCCATAAACCACCAAATCTGGTTGTCTAGGCATCCAGAAATGAATGGAATCCCATCCTTAGAGTAACTGATTAATGTAGTTGCAAAAAAAGCCCTAAGAAGTTATACATATATCAAAAGGCAGGTGTACACAGTGCCTTGGTTTAGTAATGTCACTGATAAAGACACAGGATAAAGACCATTTGCAAAAGTCATGATGCAGTGTGGTATCCAGAACTTCATTTACCTACTGTAATTACTCCAGAAATGTGCATATTGGTTAAAGGCCTGTGGGGTCCCACAGAAGTCTGTCCTGGGCCCAGTGCTGTTTAACATGTTTATTAACCATTTGGATGCTGGTGTAGAAACTTCTTGAGCAAGTTTGTGGATGACAAAACTGGGAAGGATTGTAACATGTTGGAGGACGGGAATGCAATTCAGGAAGATCTTGACAGATTGGAAAGCTGGGCTGGAACTAACAGGATGAAGTTCAATGTGGACAAATGCAAGGTGCTGCACCTTGGGAGGAATGATCAAAAACACAAATATAAAGTAGGTGACACCTGAATGGGTGGCAGCACTACGGAAAAGGATATGGGTCACAGACTCAATATGAGTCTGTAGTGTGTTGCAGCTGCACAAAAGGCAAATGCAGTTTTGGGATGTATCAATAGAAGCATTAGGGCCAAGACATGGGAGGTGATAGTGCCTCTCTACTTGGCACTGGTTAGGACTCATTTGGAGTACTGTCTGCAGTTCTGGGTTGCACATTTTAAAAAGGATGTGGAGAAGTTAGAGAGGGTCCAGAGGCAGCCAACAAAGATAATCAAGCCATAAGAGGAGAGGCAGAAGAAACTAGGCATGTTTACCTTGTCTTCAAATACTGGAAAGACTGCCATAAAGAAGAGGAAAAGTCCTTTTCCTCTCTTGCTGCAGAGGAGGATACAGACCAATGGCTTGAAGCTGTAGCAAAGCAAATTTAGATCCGATATCTGGAAAAACTTCTTCACTGTTAAAATGCTGAGGCAGTGGAATAGACTGCCTAGGAAAGCTGTGGACTCTCTGTTACTAAAGGTGTTCAAGAAGAGGTTGGAGAGCCACCAGTTGGGGATGTTCTAGATCAGGGGTAGGCAACACCTGGCATGGATGCCAGAGCATGGCATGCGAAGGCATTTTGCTTGGCATGTGTACCTTGGGGTAGATGGTGGGGAAGGGGCTGGGGCTGGAGCTTTGATGCCACAACAAGGATCAGGGCCTTGCAGCTCCCCTGCCATCTGCCCCTGGCATGCCAGTATCTTACAAGTTGAGGCTGGGTTTTTTTTGGCACTCTGCCCACAAATATTGCCAACCCTTCTTTTAGGTGTTTTTATGCTTATGTTTTATTGTGGGTCTTTCCCATGTTTCTGGGCTTTGCTGGTTGCCCCACCCTCTGTTTCTGCTACGTCAGGATGTTTTTAAGCCTCCCTCTGCCCCTGGCATGCCAGTATCTTACAAGTTGAGGCTGGGTTTTTTTTGGCACTCTGCCCACAAATATTGCCAACCCTTCTTTTAGGTGTTTTTATGCTTATGTTTTATTGTGGGTCTTTCCCATGTTTCTGGGCTTTGCTGGTTGCCCCACCCTCTGTTTCTGCTACGTCAGGATGTTTTTAAGCCTCCCTCAGAGGTACTGGGTGTTGGCTGCAGCAGCCAAGCCTGGGGAAGGTGCATGGGCAGTGCCAGTGCTCCTGCTGGGACCAAAGCCGGAGGTTCCTGGCTGGAGGGCGTTGCCCCTCTGCTGGGGGTCAGACCCATCCTCATATTTAGGCTCTGGAAGGAGTTTCACCCCACGCTCAGACTGGCACAGGCTGTGGGGCTTTTGCCTTCCTCTGTAGGGGGGAGCCGGTTGACCCTCTACCAGAGGTCTCAGGAAGGGATATTGACCTTTTATAGGAGCAGGAGGTCGGCTGCCCTACTTCACCTGTGGCAGGGAAGGGTGTTGGGTCTGTGTTGTGTCAGGGTTGACAGCAGTTTGACCTAGAGCAGCGTATCCCAACCTTTTCCAGCCCCAGGCACACTTGCATTAATAACAACTTTCTGCAGCACACCTGTTAAGGTATTCTCCATCCTCATACCTATTGTAGCTCATCGCCATGGCAAAAGTCCACAGCACACCTGTTCATTTCTGACGGCACACTTTGTGCTGCGGCACACGGGTTGGGAGACACTGACCTAGAGGGTAGGTTATGGACTGTATACCATGGTTTGGACAGGGCTCATCCTGCCTCAGGCAGCGAGTCGGGCTAGAGGTGACCTCTGGGGTCCCTTCCAGCCGGACTTCTACGATCTGATGATGACGATTCAGTGTCAGGGCAGGCTTTGCTCTCAGAAAAGCAAGTGTCTGGCAAAGCCTTCCTGGCTTCCTCTGCGTGATCCACACCCCGCAACGCTCCCACTCCACCCGTGGGATCCGCTCTGTAGAGGTGGGTCTAGGACGGTGCCTGTGCGTGAAGGATAATACGTCACGACAAGCTGTGTGATGTCACCGTGACGTCACCCACCCAGGGCTCAGACCCTCCTCCCCGGCCTGGCAGAGCGCCCGCCTGCGCCGCTACTCAACCAGGGCCCGGCGGGCGTAGAGGAGGCCGATGCTTTGTGTTCGGCTGGAGGAGCCCGGAGCCGCAAAGCCCCGCCCCTTCCTGGAAGAAACGCTTCTCTTCCCCGCCGCGGTGCAGGTGCGGCCGCCCGGACCGCCGCCAGGTAGGGATCCTGCCCCGGCGCCTCCGCGGCCTGCCCTCCCCCGGGCGGGAGGGGGGCGGGCCGGCCCCCCCGCCTCTGTCCCACGACCGGGTGGGTCCCCTCCCCTCCCCTCCCCTCCCCTGCAGCAGTGCCTTGGCCCCTCTCTTTGGCTGGGGGACACCTTCTCCCCCTCCCTCTGGGACAAGCTGCCGGGTCAAACCCAGCCGCTAAGCGGGAACTTGTGGGGGGAGGCCAGGCTCTCTGGAGTTCCAGGAGCCCCTGCTCAGAGGGTGCCTCGCTCCTCTGCTTCTGGTTGAGTGGCTGCCAAGGCAGACAGATTGCAGTGTTTGCAGCTGGGAGCTTGCAGCCGGGCCCTTTCTCATGCCGGGATTACTGTTATTAGTATTAGCATTATTATTTTTTTCCTTCTTTTCATAGGGGTGTGTAATTGTCCCTGACTTGGGCACTGGAAGGTGTATTGTATGCATTAAAAGTATCGCTCTTGTGAGTGCGCGAGGGGCTGTTGTGATACCCCGCCCTTGCCCCCAAGCACACATGCCCTTTTCAAGGCTAGATAGAGCATGTTGCCTGCAGAGAGTTTCTGTGGACTCCTCAAAGGGAGAGTTTTTCTTCCTGATGCCTGCTTAAGTCCTGCATGTGGGTTAGACAGGGAAGGGAAAACCAGGGAAAAAGGTAAACTTTATTGTGGAAACTGTGATTTGACTCCATGGCAGAAGCACCCTGGGAATGTGCTCCCAGTTTATGCAGTCTGGGCTGGGGGGACACCCACTGCAAAAGCTTACACTCGAGGCCAGGGATGTACGTGGAAGAGAGGGGGAGGTTTTGCCTACCTACACTGCAAGCAAAGTGTGTAGTTTGGGTGGGGGGGCTGGGGTTTAATTTTAGTTAAGTGAGTAGAAGAGGGGCAGCAATGAGTTGGTCTGCAAGCTGTTCTGCTCCTGCACAATCTCAATAGGGCTGCACACTGGCATTGAAGCCTGCTTGAGAGGAACAGCTTGCCAGGTCTGGCCCTGAGAAACTGTAGGCTGAAGTTGCTTTTACATTAACTCATCCTGCATTAACTCGCTGGCCTTAGGTGTTGTAAGTGATGCATGTGATCCTCTCTCAGGGAGGCCAAGAGGAAGAAGTGATCCTACGTATCTCGCCATATATGTTGCAGTACTTGGACACATCAAGGTGAGTTAAAGTTGTTAAGGCTGTGTGTCTTGGAGCTTGCTACGTTAAAGGGATGAAATTACTTCAGTTAGGCTAACTGAACAAATCTTTTATAGGAAAGGAATATTGGTGCTACATGACAAAGAACAAATATGTGTGGGGTTTGAATTATGGGGGAGCTCGGCTGAGCCCCTCATGGGCTGGTCGGCATCCCCCCCACCCCCACAACAGCCTGGAGCCCATGGTCCACCATGCACAGCACCTGGTCTGCCCTGTGCCTTTATAAACAGCCCAGGTGGTGGTGGCTGCTTCTGGCTGCCACTGTTGCTGGCCTCAGCCCCGCGGTACTGGTGGGGACCTGTGCACACAGCCCTGACCCCAGCCAGTTTATTTTGTAGACCCCTCCAAGGGTCAAAATGTAATTTGAACCCTGGGTATGTGGTATTTGGCAGAAAGAAAGTGGGTCCAAAGAGAACTGGCTGAGTAAATGGCTCTTCACATAATGATCTCCATCCTTTTGAGAGGGTGGAAGTGCTGCCTCCTTGACATCATCCTTCCTCAAGAGCTTCTTTGTGACACCCCTCATTTGGCCTCTTTGAAAGATGTGGTTGGGTGGGGCCAGGCACAGGAGAATGGCTGTGCCATGAGGCAGTGTATTCTGTAGATGACCTGGTTCTTTGGCCTGAAGAGGTGGGTGTGAAATACTATAGGCCCTTTCCTCTGGTGTTCAGATGCCTTGTGCTCTTCTGCAATCTCTGAAGTCCCCAGATCCCTCCCTTCTGAAGTGATGGCTTTCAGAGAATTTCATGATTTTACAGCAGGTTATCTCATGATCCTTTGAGCTGTCTCTTGTGGGTTTCTCAGAGAGGCAGTGGATCTGGTCTTTGCACCACAAAAGAGCCAGACTTGCTGATAAAGCTGAGTCAATAGGGGCTAATGGTGCTCTGGGATGATGCAACCAAATACAACCTATACCTCTTTCTCATCACCCACAATTTGCACCTGACCTTTGATTCAGAATTCTCAGGTTTGTAAATGTTAGGCTTTGTCTGTGTGTGTTGTTTGTTTGTTTGTTTTTAAACAAGGTTTCTAACTGGCATTTCCACCATTCTGTTGTCACAGTAAAATGCAGGTGTTTCATAAATTCTTAATAGCTGCTGTGAGAGAAGGAAAGTTGTATTTTTACTTTTATTTATTTAATGTAAGATGTTGAAAAAATGCATATTTACCACAATTGCCTGCTTAGAGTGCCTTTCATTTTTTTAAAGGAACAATAGCTACTGGAAGAAGAAATCCTAAGGCTTGACTCTTGCTAGTATTATGCTGCAGTAAATCATGCCTTATATTTAGCAGTAGATATTTGTTTCTCTTCATACCTCTGCCTTTATAACAGGTTGAAAGAATGTTGAAAATCAAATGTACTTGTTGCTCTTTGTACAGTCTGGGTTGGGGCAGTGAAAATGAAAATGTATTAAAACAATTTAATATTGCTTCACTTTGATGCTGTAAAATGTGGGTTTGTAGAGGCTTTATAGGAAAGTGAAACTGTGTAAAGGCAGCTGTTTTCAATTTACTGTTTTCCTTTGGAAGGACCAAATGTTGTTTCAATAATTCCTTCTGGTGTTGGGTTTTGTAACTGTCTGATTTTGCAACCCTTATAGTTTGGCCCAAACATAACTGAGCAGTAGTGACCTTTGAGGGCTCAGATCTTGCCACTGGAACTGAAACAGTCTGTGTTAGGGGCCAGAGCTACTAATTGGAGTAAAACTACTAGCTCCACAGCAGGGGAAGAGAATCCTGGGAGGAAGGGACAGATACTTTTAGGTGGTGTATCCAGAGGTAGAGGAAGCACTCCTTGTAGGTAAGAAGGAAGACGCTGGCTGACACTGAGAAGACCAAGGTATAATTCCTAGCTTTGCCACAGGTTTTTTGTATGGCCCGGGGCAAGTCACTGCTCCTCAGGCAAATAAAACAGGGCTGATAACACTTAACCAACTCTTTGGGGTAGGGGCTGATGCTTGTCCTAAATGCCTACCATGTCAGGGCTTTTACCATATTTTGTGAGATACCAACATAGCAGGAGGGAAGGGAAGAGAGTGCAGGTGGTAGAGAAGGGTTTGTAGTAGGGCAGGTACAGAGAGAAGAATAGAATGATAGAAGTAAAAGATAAGGATGCAATGCAAGTAGCTTAAACTTGTATTAAGAACAGCTAAAAGACATTAAGCACCCTCTATATTGTATTTCCATTGCTGTGGTTACCAGGGGGCTATTCTGACTGCAGAGTGGAAGGTGGCTGGACACAATACTGCCATTAAGGTGCAGTCCATGATACAAAGAGATTGGAGAGTCCTTGCAGGAGTTTGGTAATAGGGATGATGCAGACCTCAATGACTGGCAAGCTGAGCCAGTGTTCAGCAGAAAAATCCAACCCACCTGCCTTGTAGTCCACAGGAATGGAGGTGCTTGGGTATATAGGCCCAAGCCTATCAATTTACAAGCATTCTTGTAAATGAATGTCACTCCACTGGGCCTGAGTGACACTCCTCCTTTTTCTGGGGTGGGATTTACCAATACTGTAGTATTTGCATTCTCCCAGAGCAGTTGCAGTGAGATAAAAGGAGGTAGACCTACTCCCTTCCTGCTTTTGATACATAATTGGGTTGCATGCCAGTAGTAGGGGAAAGGGTGAATTCAAACTGAGTGTCTTTATATATGGTAGAAGTGCTAAATAAAATGTATAAAGAAGAGAGAGAGAGATTAAATGAATGTTCATTGTACTTCAACTCTGTTACCCAGCAGCTTGAGGCATTTGGGGGCTGTTTCATGTATGTATGTATATATTTTTAAATAACTTTTTCTCTGTTAGGACAATGGGCAGACCCCTTGCATGCTACTCCTTTCTCTGTGTTGCTTGTGTATAATTTTGGCTTTCATATCTGTGTAAATCCTAAAAGGTTGCGACTTAAACATCTCCCTTTCTCTCCTCTTCCCTAGCATGTGCTAGACTTCATGTGGTATACCCCCTAACCTATTCCAGTGGTTTAAGGGGCGTGTCCATACATGAATTTAAACAGGCTTAAATTTCTATAGCTTAGGGGGTGTGTCCATACATGAATTTAAGTGGGCTTAATCTGCATTAATTTAAGACGCATGAAATTTAAGATTGCTGAAATTCCATGCGTCTTAAACTAATGCAGATTAAGCAGGTTTTGGCAGGTGTCTACATATGGTGGGACCTGGGACTAACTTTAGTCCCAGGTTGCTTCAGCCCTGCCTTGTGCCCCTGTGGCCATAGGGGGAGCTCCAGCCTCCAGACACATGGCTGCCAGCACTTGGCAGCCATGTTGAAGCCAGAGCCAGCTGCCAGCATTTGGCTACCATCTTGGAAACCCCCCCTCCTCTGATCCCTGGCCAGCCCTTTCCCTGTGCAGGAGCCATGTGACCAGTACAGGGGCAGCATGCGGCAGCTCCCTCTTTGTCCACCATGCCTCCCTGTGCCAGGGCTGCCTCTGCTCCTGCCAGCGATGACCAGTACCCTGCTGCTCTAGCCTGGCTGGCCATGGTGCTGGTCCTGCTGGCCCCAGAAGGCAAAACCCTGCCCAGGCCCCAGGAGAGCTGCATGCCCACCAGCGGGGCAGGGCATTAGCTGCGGGAGGCCCTGGCTGACCCTTTCCTCCTGCACTCCCCACTCAAGCCGACGCACCCTTTTCTCCTGGACTCCCCACTCAAGCCGACACGCCCTGTATCCCCTGCCCACCTTTATTACCCTCACAACACCCACCCCCATCCTTTCCCCCCTCAACAAACAGTGCCCCTCCATCACCCTGCCTACCCACTAACAATAAAAAACCCATTTATAGGTGGCAAACTGTATAGAAAGCAGCCCAGCCCTGGAGGAGGATAGGCACCCAGCCAGGAGTCCTGGGGCTGGGCCCTGGCATACCACCTAGTGGCTGGGTAGACCCAGGACTAAATTCCCTGTGTTAATGCAGAGTAACACATCTACACATGTTAATCCACATTAACCAATCCCACTTAAATTTGATACTTGGTTTGGGCAGGTATTAAATTTAGGCTCACATAGCCTAAAATTACCATTTTTAAGTTGCATTAAGGGCGCAAACTTGTAGACACTTCCCTAAAGTGGCTTAAATTGGGCTAATCTGTATTAAATGACCATGTGTAAACACACCCGAAGAGAGGTACTAAGCTTTTAGCTTGGTGTATGTGAGCAGAAAATATGGTCCATTGTTTCCTGACACATGTGAAGGTGATTTCATAAATAGGGCTGGAAGGGACCTTGTAAGATCATTGGGTCCAGCCCCCTGCCCAAAGGGCAGGGAGTCATCTGGGGTCAGATGACCTCAGCAAGATAAGCATCCAAACACAATTTGAATGTGTCCAGAGTATGCACTTGCACTACTTCTGGGGAGAATCTATTCTAGACTCTGGAGATGCGGACGGTAAAGAACTTTTTCCTTATGTACAGTCTAAAATGGTCTTCTAGTAGTTTGTGGCCATTGGACCTTACTTTCTTTAGGGGAGCCCTGGTGAGCAGATGTTCTCCCAGATCCTGATGTACACCCCAATATACTTAGGCTGCCACCAAGTCCCCTCTGAGCCTATGCTTTTCCAAGCTGAAGAGTCCCATGGCTTTCCTCTGGACTTTCTCGAGCATCTCCATGTCCTTCCTGTAGTGTGGAGCCCAGAATTGGATGCAGTACTCAAGCTGTGGCCTCACTAACGCTGAGTACAGCGGGAGGATGACATCTTAGGTCTTGTTGAGATGAATTGGTAGATGCAAGCCAGGGTTTTATTTGCTTTGCTGGCTGCAGCATTGCATTTGTGGCTTATATTCATCTTGTGGTCAATCATGACCCCCAAGTCTCTTTCAGACGTAGTGCTATTGAGTGGAGCACTGCTGAGCCTATAGGTATGGTGTGGGTTCTTTCTCCTGAGGTGGAGCACCTTGCATTTCTCTATGTTGAAGGTCATCAGGTTTATATTTGCCCACCTTGTGA